CGATTAAATTACGGATTCATTTTTATGATTCGTAACATCTTTTTTACTCAATCGAAATCTCTCTCTTGTTTGTTCTTCCTAAAGCAAGATCTTAGTCGTTCTGTAAATTTGGCATATTTCTTAAATATTTTATAAAGATCACCGTTACCACTAGATTAACTGAAATCCCAAAAAACGGAAAAATACAAGTAAAAATGTCCTAGTTATGTTAACCGTATTATTGATATCTGGGAATTATTCTGAGGTGATAATATTTTTTAGGAACGCGTATTTCCCTCTGTTCCTATTCTAATCCCTTGATCAATTGTCGAATCGCGTACAAACATACTTCCCTAGGGACCTCTCTTACCCAGAGGAGTTCCTCAGTTGTGAAGCACTCATCGTTCAGGTAATGCTTTCGTATAACGCTCATGTCGTCCTGCACCGTCATAAGAACCTTGTTCTATATCTTATCCACTTTCTTGGCTTTTCTCTTCTTGGGCGTTAAGTAAATCCGTATCTTTTGTGTTTTTAATATCTTTTGCTCACGATACTTTGTTACCTTGCTCAAACATACGAAAACGGGACTTAATTTTTTTCTACTCTAGAAAGAAATAATAGATTTGATTAATGTTGTATTGTTTACACACCGTCATGAATATATGGTTCACGTTTTTAAACAACTTTTCATCATTCTCCGTGGATTTTAACATAAAATAAATAATAGATTTTTTTTTCTTTTTTTTTAAAAAAAAGAAAAACCTCCCAGATAATATGAGAGAAATTCATTACAAAGTTTTATTAACTTGCTACGTACTCAATTCATCAATCGGTAATAACTCGTATTTACTAACACTGATGCGTTGCGCACGGTCATGGCTTCTTTTTTTTTTTTCTTGTCGTTTAATTCGTGTTAAAAATAACAAATATACATAAATAAATATACAATTGTTTACGATTGATCATTTCGTAAATCGAATATGAAAATATGAAAATAAAAAAAGATTCCCTACTCTATACCGAGTGGTCACGTCAAGTGTACACTCGTAGAAATATTTTTGATTTTGTTTTTTGGTAGGTAATAATATAATAAAAAAAAAATACTTTTTTTTAAAATAACAACGAAATCAACAAAAAAAAAGAGAGATAAAGAAAAAACGCACTTATAAAATTATAATGAACTCCAAAAATTCAATAAACGACTTGTATAAACGGCCTTAGGATGGATCAAACTTCTGATTTCGGTAAAGTTTATCGTCGAAGTAACGGACTTTTGGAAATCGAAACCAAGTGATTTTACTTGTTCTTTGATGCTCAGTTTGTCGTCGGAACTCTGTAAAGATATGTTTATCTCTTCAGCCGTTGGCCGATTATTGGGATTTTTATCCCAACACCTATAGATCCAGTCTAAGATTATTGGCGGAGTTATATTTGGATCAGTTTGAGGTCTTAGTCCATCTACGATTTGTGATGCAAGGTTTATGTCGTGAGCGACATTATAGTGTGGTGAATATCCCGTCACAATCTCATTAATGATAACTCCCAGTGAATAAACATCCGAGGCTTGAGTATATACACCACCACGTAAAACTTCAGGAGCCACGTATGGTAAAACACCATATATTTCATCTCTTGCTTTCCGATATTCACCCACTGGCTTGTATAAGCCCAGGTCGGTGATCAATGGTTCCTTACTATCAGCTATTACAATGTTGCCGGAATGAAAATTTCTGTGAACTAATCCTACGCTGTGAATGTTATATAAGCCCGAAACGATATTTTCTATAGTATATATTTTGTTGGACCACGTCATATTATTGAAATTTTTATTCAAATAATATCTCAGACTCTCGTTTCCTGCGTATTTCATAACCATCATAAAATCGCCGGTTTCGAGACTCCTGGTAAGTCCGTAGACATCAATCACATTTGCCAAGTATTTCTCACATGTTAAAACATGTCTGTAGACCTAAATTCAGAGACACTATTAGTAATGTCTAACGATTATTTGATAACAAAATTTTTTAAAAAGATTATCATGGTGTAGTACCCCTTGCAAGAAACCCATGGTGATTTCATTATTTGAACCACGAAGCGTTTTCAGCGCAACTTTCCTCTCGCCCGTTCTCTTCCAATCTTTTTTTTCGTCATCCCACTCGTTTATTTTTCCATTATTCCAGGTAGCCGAATAAACGATGCCATAACCACCTCCTCCAATCCATTCGACTTCTTTGAAGTCATCGAAAGGTATCCATTCAATTGCTCGACGGCAGTAATTCGCACTACACTGAGCTTCTTGTATAAATCTATCAACTACCTGGCTTCCACTTGTCCAACTTGAAAATCTATCCTGAAAACGTCGCTGGGTACATAAACTGCAACGACTCCCTCCGGTCAGTGGTTTTTTACAATCCAAGCATCTCCCAAATATGCGTAAATCTTTTCTTGTTTCTTTGTCGTAGAAAAATTCTGGTGTCATCAAATTAACAAACTTTCCTAGTACAGTTACTTTCTTCGACATTCTGGTAAAGTTCAATAATTTTAATATTCAGATGAGATTAAAGTTCCTTCTCTAACAAATCTAATTTATGGAATAACAACACGGGTTATTAGGCGCAGTATATTTGCCTTTTCACTATTTACAGTACTATATAACGTACGTCCCGAGATCAACGAATTAAATGATGGTTTCCATCACACGCAACAAATATGTGGGTCACAAGTACTCTGAAGATCACACACTCGGTATAAATATTCCGAAACCGACTCCATTCTTCCTTCTTTGGGCATCTGAGGTCCGACGTATAGTCACACCGATCACATGACTTCATTGAATGGCCCCAATTCAATTAGAGATAATGTAATGGCGATAAAGATAATATAACAACAATGCGTGTACTACACAGCATACCAACTTCTTAATTAGGAATTTTGGAATTTCTTATCAGAAAAATCAATTATAACCTTTATTAAAGTCTGCATATGCTTCCATGTAACTAAAACAATAACTGGAAGCTCATTCATTAGAGGGTATACAGTAAATTACTACAACAAATACTTGAGCGAAAATGATTAGACTGCTTCACGAAAATAATTAATCTTCCTTTAAGGCTAGACTATTTCACACGAGTTAAAAAGAAACGACAAAAGTTGAGATGATGAAATAAAGAATGTACCGAGAGCACTGCTGATCCGAGTGAAAATCACTCCGTTGTAACATATTATTAATGAAATGTCTGGACATAGCAGACCCCTGCATGCGCGATTATGTACGGTATATCCTGTATATCCTTATCATATACATATCTAAAGCGTTGGTTCGATCGAATAACACATAATAAAACGTGATAGGAATATTCTCGCGAATGCGAGGAGCTGTTGGATGTACAGTGCGGCATATATGGGAATTTTGATTCTCATCTCGATTAAACGTACAATGATTTTCTTTATAAGGACAAGTTACTAAATTGTGTTGATATACGGTAAGTGTGTCTCAATGGTTATTTAATTTAGAGGAATTTTTACGGAGTACAGTGACAGATGGTGAAACAATGACATTCGTAAATTGTGCACATTTCTTTTAAGACGCACTTTCTTGAGATCCCATTATACTATTCTCTTTTCTTGAAATAAATAATGTTGCGATCATAGATGAAAAGACACAAACAATAGGTTTTTTCGGACCCAATAGTATATTAAATGACCATATGCATACTAAGTTACAAGATTTAGGTTAGATCAAGGATTCTGAAACGATATGTTTTGGTAAAAACCAATCAACTTTTTATTAAATAAATTTCTTTTGAAAAAAAGGCGTGACAAATTACACTTACATGACATATTGGACCTATTTTAAGAAAAAAAATCCTTAATGTTGTTCATTTATGATTTACAATATGAAATTGGTTAATACATTCGTGACATTTATTAGCCCATAATAGACAGCAATGTACAGTATATGCATCGCAAAAATTTCATGTTTTTTCCGTCGAAACGTTTAAAATAGCTCGCTTAAATAACGTTATTACAAATGCATCGCGTTATAAAACATTGTATGACAATTCCTTATTTAAATTATATAATAGTGGAAGCTAAAAGGACGATGCGGAGCCCATGATCGAGTTAGATTTGGGTTAATAGGGAAATCGATCACTTACCTTGTGTACCCGTGAGTTTTTTCGGCTTTTCCAAAAATTGTTCTTTCCTATTTGCATGTTAAAAATGATTGTTCATTTATATACGCGTATAAAAACAATGATCTAGAACCCGGATCAACCAGATCATTGTTTAATGTCTCGAAAAGTACTGCTTCGGCCCATAAATTTTCAATTTAATTAATAGAATAACGGATTTTGATGTTTGCTTAATCATGCCATTCCCTTGGTGCGTTCATCTTGCGGAAAATCTATTATTAGATCTTTCCGATATCCTTCTGCAAACAAAGATTCTTTTCCGCACCATGTCATTAAATATCATTATCCAGGCCGTTACTCCAGTATCTTTTTAATCAGATCCATTAAATTGGAATAAACAATGATGCGCTTAACAATTTTATGCTAGAATCTACTAATAAACATCGGACATTAAAAATAATTCCCACGCCACCGTTCCAAAACTGTATACGCGAGTCCCATAATGAACGTCTTCCCCACGATCCATGTGCCATATAAGGAATTACTCCGAATGCAAATCTGATCATTGGATGAAAAGCTAGTTTACTTACAAAATTGTCTTTGTAAAACCGACAAGTTTTATTGAATAATAATCATACATGAATAGTGTTATGGGTCGAACCGCAGTATCCTCCGCGCAACGTGACCGGAGATCACCAAAGTTTCGCGATTGCCGATCAGTGTCATGAAAAATAATGTATAAATTCTAAGGTAAGAATATTGCAGAAAACGAATGCGCGTACGGTTAAAATTGTTTCTCTGTAATAAAACTAATTGGTCAATTAAAAGAGAAAAATAGCAAAATTCAGACACAAATTCGGCGAATCAAGAGTCTCTTTATTCGGCATGATGAACCCTATTTATATTTTTACGGATAAAGACCATCGTAATCATATTCAAAGAATAAAAAATTCCACATTATCTCCACCCTTAATAGATTCCCTTACTTATTCCACCTGTATATCACAAATCTTTTTGACCACTAGTGCTCACTTCTTGACTGGATTTAGTATCGAAATGTTTCCCTTCAACACTGGGGATTACGAAACGAATGGTAAACTCGAAGGTATCAATATAATCTTATCGCGGTGATCGGTGTCTAAGGCTTTGCGTTTACAACTTGGCTAATTAATCCACTTGCGTTCCTAAAGTTTACTAGTGTATTGTCAACAAGCTAAAATAGATTAAGGTTTTGTTTTTCCAAAATCTTTGATGGTTATTCTAACTTCATTCATATTTCAGAACGCGTCGTCCTATACGAATTACACGATAATTACGTAATAAGCAAATGAAAATAATTATCTTAGACCGTTTAATGTTTTTTTTTTAAAAATTAATTTTGAATTTATTGAATAATAAATTTTATTTCAAACGTACCAAAACGCTTTATATCAATGTCTCTTTATGATGATACAAAGATCTAATCACGAAACCCTTTAAAATCAAAATTTTATTAAATACAATATTTTATAAACCTTTTAACTGGTGCACTAACCATATTGATATTAAAGCAGTTCTACGTTCTTTAAATTAACTTGAAAAACTATTATATACGATATACCAAGTACGTAAATATAGTATAATTTGTTGCGAAAATTTCGAAAATTTCAATTCATTGATTATTCTTAAATAAATAATCATTGTTCTAATATCAAAAAATATATAATATTGCGACTTTCAAAACGCTGTGACATCCTGTCCACGTAGAGAATGATCTACATGTACTTGAACGGTTATAACAAGTGCAATCCATTTAGTAGAATTTCTTGTTGTAAGAAATTATTTGGAAATATTAATATAGAGGTCTGGAATGGTTTGTTCTTTCTGTTAGATTCCTTTATAGAAATTATATATATATAATCTATAACAAGTCTTAAAAAGACTGGTTGATAAAAGAGTGAATTGGTTTTTAGATAAATTAGTTAAAGAAATGAAGATGAAAACAAGCAAAAAAGTATCAATTTCAACTTTGTGATATTTATTTAAATTTTACAGAATTACTTGAAAAATAACAATAATATTTTTTATTAAGTCAATTAATAAAATGTTTATATTAATTTTTTATCATATACAGTATATAAATTTATAAAAATATACTGTATATATTAATATATATTGCCTACATTGATATTTGATAAAACTATTGTTGTTGAAATTATTATAAAGAGTTATAATCAAATTATTTTTAAACTCTTATTATAAAAGTTAAAGATTTTATTAGGATTTAATCATTCTTATATATACAGTATATTAATTTTATAAAAAATCATAATAATTATCTTAATTATATTTAATACTTTTGATATACAGTATGTATAAAAAAAAATTAACCTTTTTTTTTTTTTAATAATTTTTTAAATTTTTAATTAAATTTTATGTACAATGTTTTATTTAAAAAATAAAAACATATAAATTTTTATTTATAAAAAAAAAAATACATTAATAAGGAATTCGATTGCTATCATTATTGATAATTAGCTGACAACAATGTTTCATTAATTTAACAAGATTAGCTAAAGTATTAGTTGAAATTTTTTGCCATTCCTGAATGGTGTTGATACAAGATTTCGACGTAAAATTCGGTGTTCATGATGTTAGTAAAGCAAAATAAAGATGTCTTGCTCTTGATACAAAATCCCTCCAGACAAAAATCTTTTATCTATTTTTAGGAAGTGGCCTGATTGGTTTATGGTTCTTGTACCATCGTTTTATCATATTCCTAAACAAAAAAAAAGCTGTCTCATCAGAAAACAGTATTCATTTCCAACTATCCTTGAGATGTTTTATCACCTATTTAATTTGCTTTTCCTTATGAAGGTCTGTAAGCATTGGAGTGCCCACCAGAAGAGCATTTTTATAATTAAGCTCTTTTAATTTCCTCCCTACAGTCGAGTCTGATAAGAACTCTTCATCCTTGGAAAGTTTTATGGTCAAAGTTTACAAAGGTAAGGAGCTATTCTTGTTGATATAATATTTGAGAACACATGCTTTTGCCAATCTGATCTTTTTTGAATGATTATTGCCTTTCAGATGTGTAATATTCTCAGTTTTTTTTATTTTTCGAACATTGTATTTAATTGTAGAGTGAGAAATGTTGGTAAGCTTTTGGAGTTCCTTGAGTGAATGTATTCCCTGATTCCAGAAATGAAGATTTGTTTAGTATTAAGAAGTTAACTTGATATTGGACATTTTTTTTAAAAAAAATTTTTTATAGAGCAAGGCTCTTTAAATATGTCAGCATATGCAAAGTGTTATATAATACCATTACTATAATTATTGTACAATTGTATTAATTATTTATTAAATAATTTTAAAATAAAAATTGTAATTAAAAATGTCAGTTTTTTTTGATACATACTGTATCAACTATTTCTATTATTTTAAGAAAAAAATATTTTTCAGAAATAAAAAAAAATAATTATTATTATAGTAAAAATAACTCATAATTTTTAAAATTTTAGAAATTTGAAATTATTATAATATCAGTTTATATAATAATAAAAATCTTTTTTCAAATAATATATACTTTATATATATTAATTATAAAGTTAAATTAAAAAACTAAAAAAAATTTTTTGATATTAAAATAAGACATTATTTATTGTTTTTATTTATTATTTTTTTTTGGGGGTTTCCCCTCATAGGTAAGCATCATTTCTTTATTTGATATTGTATATAACATGGTATACATTGTAAAAGAAACAACATCTCTTACGTACATATATAGCAAGTTAAATGCTAGTCTGCCTACGCGAACACATCTAGCTAATATTGAAAAAGAAATTCAAAACAATACTATATACTAGCTGTGCCTGAATAG